TAATTCTTCATCGGCTATTTAAGTGTGATGTGGATTTTTATCAGCATTGTTTATTATTTCCCTGAGGAATCTACTCAGATTTCTTTTCCAGAGACTGAAAAAAAGCATTTGTGTAACCCTGTACAAATGCCAGTTACTTCTGCCAGTAAAACAGAGTTGTAATTTTCTGAGATCCTGCTCTCTTTCCTTCACTTAAGTAATCCTGAAAAAGTGTTCATTCGGCATCTTCACTTTTCTTATTTTACTTTTACATACTCTGCATTTTGCTATTTTTGTCTCATCCTTGAGACCTTACATATTATGTATACCTTTAATATACTGGGGGTCTTGAATATAAAGCCAATCTATCTAAATATTTTCAGCCTTGCTCTTTTTTTCGTTCTACTTCTTGTTAATTTTCATGTAGCTTCTTTTTTGTATTCCCTGCCTACTATTTGTGGTAGGCAAAAGTGAGTGCCAATATGATTGACAGGGACTCGGATACGACTGCTAACATTCTTGATTAGCTTAAACAGGTAATTAAACGGACTTTGGAATAAATAAAATGAGATTTGTGGATTAACGTTGGAGATAACCTATATTTTACTTGTATAACTAAAATACTTAGTTTGCATCTTAATCTAAAATCCTTTGTTTTATAGACGACTAATAGACTCTACAGAAGAAGATGACAATCTACCCTGTAAAGCAGGTCCTAAACGAATTAGATTTTCAGGTCCTTCAACAAGCACTCAGATCAAAGTCAAGAACTCTGCTTCATTAAAATTAGTGGCCTATGATACTCCTTCACATTCTGTTCTTAAACCATGCAGCACTGATAGTGTGTTACAACCCAGAACAGCACTAGAAACTGCACCTGCAACGTGCCGAATATTTACAAATTCTCAGGCATCTTGTGGAACTCAGAATATTGAAAATGGAGCAACACGGCAAGCTGCTTCCAAGACGTCATTGTCTAAGAAGCCTATATCAAATCGAGTTGTAAAACTGAAGCGGACTCCACTATGCATTGTGTTACCATCTCAATCATCTTCCTCTGTTTTGAATAACACAAGTGAACAGGAGGTGCAGGCGGTTGGAATTCCTGCAACTTCCATGTCGCTAAGTAACAAAGAATCAGTTAGATCCACAGAGCATCTAAAGCTCAAGAGTAAAATGGAGATTGATATAATAGATGATAACATTTAACTGCTAAATTCTTGGAGCACATTTCCTGGCATGACTTTCTAACAGAAAAGCTTCTGACCAAGCTATCAAGAAGCAAACATATGTCCTGGCTTATAATTTACTAGAAGAGCTGGTAGGAAATTGAGAGAAAAATAGTGTAAATTTTAGAGAGAAAAGGTTTGGAAAGCATGGTAAGTTGAGAGGAGTTTTCCTGGTCTAGTTCTTAATGTTTTTGGAGAGGACTACATTTTTTTTAAACCAGTTTTGTAGTACATTGTCATGGTATTGTTCTTTTTAAAAATGTACAGATACAGATAAACCAGACCTGGATGTCCTACTTGAAAATACATCCCAGATTAAAAAACAGCATGAAGTCATAGATTTAAAAACATTTTCAACTTGGGGAAAAACAGACTATGGTCATTAGTAATACAGGATCCACATGCAGATTAAAACTTAATTTTAAACTCTCCAGGGGTATAAAATATCAGGCCTTACAAAGGTATCGAAGCCACAAAGAGTAAATGCATAAATTATGGCTTTACAGGGCTTTCAGCAGTTTTCAGAAGGCTAAAAGGAGTCAGCCTTGCATGTAGAATTAGAAATTATAAGGGGAACAAAGGCTTGTTTTGAAAGCAACAACCAAGAAATAGATGTATAAATTCCTTAGGGAGCATGATCCATGTACTGCAAACATCAGCCCAAGCTAGCTGATTTTACATGCTATTTCTTTAGCATTGTAGACCGTGCCTGGTGTCACATTACTGCAGTCTACTGTGTCCTATAATTGCAGAAAGTCTCTTAGGCCTGACTCAGCCCTCCTTGCTTTGTTCTACCTTGTGTACCTTTGTGGATGACCAGCTGTAAATGAGCAAGGACAATCCAATCTCTACCTACATTGAGGCAGTGTAGTATTAGAGCCCTGCTTAGTGAAAACAGGTAAATAAAAAAGTCATCCAAGGGGGAGGGATGAAGGACAGACGGGGCTGAATTGCTCTTGAACATTTAGATCAATATTGTATAATGTTAACTTTTGTGTTCCAAGAACTGAGCCTCTAAAAGAAAACAATAGGTATAAAATTTAGCAATACTGCTGTTCTCTTGGGATCATCTTATGTTTTGAAAGCTAGCTTCCATCTTTAATTGCCCATGGTAGACACTTATTGTTTAATGAAATTTTAGATTTTATAGAAAACATGGTATAAAGATGCTAAAATTGCTCAACTTGCCCTTTCCTTGCACATAAAAATTTTCCATTGGTGCTAAAGGTCCAAACTATTCCTAGAACGGAGTTAGAATAAAAATCAGTTTTAAAAATAGATATTCCATTTTGTGCATTCTTTACTTCATTCTCTAATTGAATTAATAACTGAGGAAATGTTATAGAAAGATAAAACATCTTAAAGAGTGATTCCCATCTCATCATTTGAGGTGCTTTAAAAGGTTTATAAAAACATAAATAAAGCTTGGCAATAGTTTGGATGCATTTTACACAGAAAAATGTTTAAGGAAAAATCTTGTGGGATTTTTTGTGCTGGCTTTAGTTCATTATTTTTGCTTTAGATCTTCCCTGGTAGCAAAGGCGTGTTTTCCCCCCCCCCCCCAAGTATTATTTATAATAGCCTTTAAAAGTAGTTGTCTTGTTGTAACATTGTACAGACTTCCTGTAAAAAAACGGCCCTAACTCAAGGGTTTAGAGATTATATGTTGAAAAAGCTCAACAGGTAGGTGAAACAGTCAAGCAGACTACAGGCTGTCAGAAAATAGAACAGGAAGATTTTTTTAAAATGGATTAATTCTAATGCCCCATTGACTCCATTGGAAGTTGGATCAAGCCCATTGTTAATGAACGACATGCTTTCTTGTAACCAAACAAATGCATATTTGCAGCCAACTTTGTAGAATGGAATAAGCACAATATTTCATCATTGTTACACCAATGTGTGTATTGTTGGTACGTTTCATGGTTGAATAATTTTGAACATTAATTTTAGTTTAATATATTAATTAATTCTGACAATCTGTGAGAAATGGGCCTATTCAGGGGAAGAAGCAACAGCACCTAATGGCCACCTGTAAGCATTGCAGCCTGAAACCTGCTGGTTCAGAAAAGTTGTCATTTTGGCATAGGTCACATGCTCTGCATTTTGGAATGGAGAGACATTAAGCAGCATTGCCACAAATAAAAGAATTTTCTCTCGAGTTTTTGCCCATCTTTGGTTTCCCACCTTCCTTTTAAGTGCAGCAAATGACCTGGGGTCTTGGAAGTCTGCTGTAGTTTTTTTAAAATCAAATTATTCTGTTTTGGCAAAGGGAATCCTATATGGTATGGTATGGTATATCTGCTTCCAGAAACCTTGCCACAGATACATTGTACATGCTGGATAACTTGAAAGATTGGGGGAAATTTTATATGAACTACAATTCTTCAGCTGGATTTGATACAAGTTTCCTCATAGCCTGTTTAGTAATCGGCTTATTTTTATATTAATAAAATTTTCCCTCTTATTAAAAAGAAATTATTCAGTGAGAAAGTAACCCCAGTTTAACTATGTTACGCCGACTACTAATGTCAAATGCAGTGATGTATGAAATATATGTGCCTGGTTAGCTGATGAATTAAACAATACATTCATCATTCTAATTAACATTCTCTATTCACTCTCTCCTGTCCCAGATTTGTGTTTTCCAACAACCAAAAGCTTGTCATTATAATAGTTAAGTATTCAGGAAAAATACCCTTACTAGCTTAATTCCTAAAAAATCATTCACATGTGACTGAGCATGGGACTGTGATGCAGGAGGCTGCTTATTGCCAAAGCATGTGATTGATAGTCAGTGAACTGCTTCAAAGTATAGAAAAATCATCTGCACTGTATTTCATTTAAACAAATAGATATTATTTCATGTGACAGGCACATGTTCCCTTCAAATCTTTGAGAGAATTTTGGTACTGTTTGTATTTTACTAAGAACCATGGAAATATTACGCAATTAAATGAACTAAGTCACTAAGTGTTAAAACAGTTGCAAAACTTTATAAAACAGTGGAAGTAGCCTATTTATAAGCAACTATGACACACTAATGGCCCTTAAAGGCAAGTTCCCTGTTTTTCTCAACCCAACATTATAACACATGTCCAATCTTGTTTCTTATGTCACCTCTGCTCTGTTCGTATAAGCTATGATTAGCCATTTATCTGTTGTGCCCTTAAGTATCTTTGTGCTTTCTTTCATTTTGTCCCTTATTCATAAAATTCCAATTCTAATGAATCTGCAACTACCCATATGCCTTCTTCAAATTCTTAACACCTACTATTTACCTCTTTTTGAATCACTGAAATGCCTTTTCCTTCTAGTCCTTGAGAGCACAAAGGAATCTAAAAACTATTTCTGTTTAAGTACTTAACTTAGTGGCTGAGTTCACCTCTGTTTGGAAGAAAGACTAATGTCTCTCAGCAAGTATAATAATCAGTTTAGATTTAAGTTCTCCTCCCCTCCTCTTAAACAGTGCAAAGCTCTTACCTGAAAAAACAGGAGGAAAAAGAAATGCTGTTCCTCCAAAAGCTTGAGAGAATGAACTAACCTCTTAGCTGTTTGGCTTCAGCTAACTTAAAGACTCACAAATGCCGTAATCAGTTAGCAGGAAGTGAAGCATTCTGGGTATTCTGCTGTAGCAAAGCCTTGTAACAACACCCAGGCTGTAAATGCTGTAAAATGGCAAAGCAGCGCTAGGAGCTGAAGTTACAGAGATTTATGGAAGTTTTGTCTTGTATTTGTTTTATGTCTCTCTTGCTGATTCCGGTTGCTTATGCAGCTCCCCTCCTGCTGCCCCTCCTTTGCCGAATTATTTTGCAGATCTACCCACTGCTTGCTCAGTGACTGACAATGCTGTGTGTCCATATATTTGCAGCAAGGATTCAGGTACTTTGACACTGGTTATTTTGCAAATATTAGATGCTTTTTAGCTCATTCCAGGCTCTAATACAGCATCCACTAATATTTTAAACTTTTTATATAGCTTTTAATGAACACAATATTAAACATTTTGAAATTTGCTATAAACATCTATCCCCTTTATCATAACTTTAAGAGCATCTCTTGCCTATCTGTAGCATTCAGTTTTCTAGCTTGCAAATGATGTAGCATAGGGTTATCTTGGGTCTTTTTTATGTGACATCTTTGAGTGGATTTAGTGGTTTCTCACTGGCAGCCAGGATTGAACCTGGACAACTATATCAGACACCACAAGCTGCTGAGGTAAAAGTTCTAGATCTGTAAGTTTAAAAATTGCAGCTGATGTAAACTCTGATGTGGCCCAGCCACTAGATGAGGACAGAGTCTTAGTGGGAATTGCTATTGCCATAGTAGATCAGCTAGTTTAGTTGAATTAGAGGCTGCCTTATCCATTAATTTTTTTAGGGTAACTTTTTTTCAAAGCTACACAAATTTCAAAGTCATATTTTCATAGGTGCCCAATTCACTTAGGCTCCAGTTACTCATTGCAGAAGGGGCTGGCCAGGGGGCAAAAATATTGATCTTATCCCTCGGGATAGAGCACAGGGATTCACAGTATAGAAGTTTGAAGGGTGCCTGCTTGAGGATGACCTTCAGGTCAAGGCTCAGTGTAGATGGAAGCTCAGCGATTCTAAACAATTGTGCATGGTTTACATTTTTTCAATTTGCAGCCTTCCAAATTCTACCTGGGCTCTGAAGGGCATGTGCGGGTCCTTCTGTTCTCATTTTACAATGACAATAGATTGTTCTGCACGCTAAATCACACCCTTCCCAACACCTGTCCATTCCCTTTGCCTTAAACAGGGTCGAACAGATAGTTGATCCTGTAATTCGAATGTAATACAGTGCTATTGACGATAAGCATGAAGAAGTAAAATCTAGTTAGCTAGTTGTCAGTACTAAAAGTAGTAAAAAGGAAATAAAACATACTTTTCTCACAAAAGTCAGCAGATACAGCTCCTACTGCACACAGGGATAAGTGGAAGGTGAAAAGGTGCTTGCTTCTACCCAACCACGTAATTTTAAACCTGGTTTAAATATGTATAACCCATTCTAAATCATAACTGATGTAATAACATTGAACAGATACCTGAGGATACTCAAAGACCAGCTGGAGATGCCAGCTTCCCATTTCTTATTGATGTGTTTGGAATCAAGAAAGGTGTCTGCATCATCATCTGAAGATTGTCACATACAGATGTATTGTTTTTCAACTCTCCGTTCTGAATCAATCAGATACTGAGGCCGTGCTTTATTAAAAGTCTGTATTTACTAGAACTGAAATTAAATTATTCTTGTCATGTAAGTTTGCCCCCTGTGTAGCATAGACTTGATTTCAAGAGAAGAATTCTTTTTGGGGAGATTTATAAAATTCAAAGAATTCCATTAATAAAATTAAGGAGTTACTTGTCTGAGGAGAGATATAATTCACTACGGGTAAGTTAATATTTTTTAGAAATTAAGATTTTAGGAACCTATCTAAGCATTGTATAGTTTCCCTGCATTGTACCCACGTGGAAATTATTAATACATTCATGACAGTAAGGTCACAAGTCAAAGCAAAGGTCTTTGGGCAAATCTAGGAAAAGTTACCTTTCCAATACCACACAGCACATACTTGCTTCTAATGGGCCATCAGAAGTTCAGATCCAAATGTTCATACAGTCAGATTTATGAAATACCAATGCAGAAGTAGTGACTAGTTTTGAGTAGCACAGTATGTACCCTTGTACTTCTGTTTTTCCTCACTACTTCTCAAGATGAAGACAAGCTAATGGCTTTTTACAGCCATACTAACTGCCAGTGTCCTCATGCAAAACATCTATTGATGTCACCTGAGAGAAAATGAGCACTTTAAAGAAAATCAAAACATCTGAACTTTGAGTTTTTAAGGGACAAATTGACAAAATGGGACGCTGTCAATATCGTGGAACTGAGCAAAACCATTCTAGTAAAAATTAGGCAGAGGCATCTACACCAAAGCACAGAATAGCAAATAAGTTCCTTGTGTCACATTTGTAAACATGCTGTGCTGTCTAACTCCCACTGAAAATATGTGCCTAAACACCTTTACTAATTGTAGACCTTAGACCTTTGAGTTCATGTTGTGAGAGGGAGCTGGAGCAGGATACTTCACAAACGGCATCTCTGAAGTCATTGTTGTGACTTGTGGAGCGAGATGCTACTCAATGGGTGCATCAAAAACATGACTAATTAGCTCTGCTATAAAACCACTATCTACACATGCAGTCCTATTAGGACAGTGTAAACTAGTTAACTCCACCGTACAGTAGTACTGCCAGACACAAGTACTGTCTTACAGCAGAGCCATAGCCAGCCCTTCTGTAGCATGTTGAACTGGGTCAGAGCAGACCCAGGCTGGCAGGGTGACCCTTGCCAGCTAGGGCTGCTCTGTGCTGGCTCAACATGCCACAGTCCCAGATGCATGTTCAAATGATGTGCCTGGGACCGATCGACTCTGGTGCAAACTGCTAGAATTTATTCAGCCATGTTAATTGCACATGTAGACATGCCCCGTGTGATGAAGGATGCTGGAATGTAGCCCAGCATAGGAAATAAAGGCTTAAACCACTGATGTCCATTGAAAAACTCAAGACTGATGCTTATGAGATTATTTGGATCAGTTCCCAAATGCATCTAAAGGGATAGGCAGACAAACAAGTCATTATGGGGTAAACCAAAATTCACCAACAAAGAGTAAAATACTAAAGATTAACAAATGAAGGAGAACTGTACTTAGTGTGAGTTTTGCCAGAAGCATTTCAGGATTGGGCCCAAAGTTTTTGTTGTTACTGCAAAGATTAATATAAAACAATGAGAATCAGAGGTGGTTAGGTACTGTAAGGCAGCAGACACTAAACATTTTAAAGTAGCATTTAATTTGTTTGGAAGGAACACGGTTTCTGAAATACAGACGCAGGCTACTAAAACTATCTAGGATTCTTTAATAGAAAACTCAGAGGATGTGATACCCACTTACATATACATGCACTTCCACATTCTATTGCATGTTGCCATAACAGATTTGTAAAAGTTGTTGCTCTCCTATAGGAGAGGTGGTTTCTATGGCAGAAATTAACATAGAAAAATAATTGAAATTCAAATCTGGAACACCAGAAACTATTTATAGCTGAAAAATAAATCTAACTAGTCACAGCAAAGTGACCAAAGAGGGTAGACAATATAACTGTGGTTGGATAGCCATGAATATAAACAATCCAAACTTTTGAAATAAGCATTTTCCCTAGTCTCATAAAAATAGTTTATCGATGAAAAATACTAATGTGTAATATAATTAATACAATTTTTATACTGGAAATCAGAGATCTCTGATTACGGAATGACAGACAAAAATATCAAATGTATTATTTTTTTAATTTGTATAGAGCAATACTGTGTGTATATAATATATGTGTATATATATGCATATATGGAGAGAAAAAGATGTATAGAAATTTTTCAGGATAAAATCTACAAGAGCATCCAATTTCATTGCAGACCATCATGTACGAAGTTCCTGGTATCTTTCCTAATATTAGCTGCTCTAAAAACAACAAGTGGACTTGTACAACCACATATCTATAACAGGCATCAGGCTACTGTGCATTTGGTCTTCACTTTATTTTTTCAATCTAGATTTTATTTTTATAAGTAAGTAGTAAATGCTGCCTGGCTAAAATTCTGCATTGCCATGACAAAATAACTTTGAGCATATTGTGCAAAGCTTTAAAAGTATGAAGTGAGTTACTGCTCATAATTAGAATGAATAAAAATACTAGCAGGTTTCAAATAGCAACTGATTTCAACTGATTGTATGTTCTGACAGACAATTTTTTGTCAGTATTTCAACAAGCACCTTGACTGAGAAACTGAAGAGATTAACTTGCTCCCTCTCTCTCCATTGTGAGAATTTAAGCCACCAAAGTCACAGCTGGCACTGAAAGGACAGTGGGATCAGCAGAGACCTCTATCCTTGCAGGACATAAATTGCATTGAGAGACCCTAGCAACGCTGTTTCGGAAAGACCTGGGTTCTGTGCTGTCTGGCGTATGATGCTTTCGTCGGGTCTTTTCTGAGTGTGTAAGATGCTCTGTGGTCCTTGTAGCTGCAGATTGGTCTTGGTTTTTTGTAGCTCCTTTGTTTTTGGGTCTGAAATTATTATGCTGCTGTCTTCTGTGTTCAGATCTGGAGCTGCTTTTTATATTATTCTGATCTGTCTCATTGGTACTTTGTGATTTGCCAGACCCATTAAGTCGGAAGCTTTGATGCTGTGGGTTGAATCTTCGTCGCTGGATAAAGGGCCCAGTCTACAAAGAAAGAAAATGAATAAATGGTTGTCTACACTCTTCAAATATAACAATGGAAGTAACAAGGTAAAAAATTAACTCCTGCAAAATAAAATTCCTGCTGAACTCACTTCATTTTTTTATTGAGGATATAACAAAACATGTAAATTTAATTGGTACTATACCTGTCAAAAATACCTGAGACTACAAAGAAATCTCTAAACTGTTGGTACCCAAGCTATTTGCAAATATATGTGCCAGTCAAGCACATTAAATTAAAACTTACTGGGACACAAGGCAATGTAAAAAAGTGATGATATATTAGTGCTATAGAAATAAGAGCAGCAAAACTAAGTAGCAGTGGTTAGAACCTAGTTTTCTTTGATTTCTGCCCCTTGAAACCTCAAAGTACTGCTTCTCTGGTGAAGTATTGTATAAATGGTACAATGATATTTACAAAAAGGAAAAAAGCAGAACTCCACATGGAATGGAAAGAAAAAAATCATGTGGATGGCAGATACACCCATTCTGTTCATCTCCTACAGAGAAGAAGCTTTATCAGTTTTGGAATGTTGTTTTGGGTTTTTTTCTATGACCGCCGTGGCAGCAGGTCACATATATATACTGGCAGCATAAAATGCACCAATATTTTTCCTGCCTGATTCTGTAATTTCTACTTGTACAAAACTCAGGTTGACTTTATCAAGAGCTTTACCCAAGTAAGCACTACAATACAAGGACATTATAAGGTGCTCCTGTAATGAAACAGCTAAAGAACACCACAGTATAGTAAACAGAATTAGAGAGCTTTTGAAATAATATTGAAAGCACGTAGGATTCCAATTTCAAGGTCTACCAAATCCTGTTTCAGGGCTTGAGCTGATCACTTATCCAGAATTAGGAACAAATATTTGTCCATAGCACAATTAGGTAGCTTGTGAAGTTTGTAAAACTTCGCTCTGCTGCAACTGGTATTGGTCATTGTTAAAAACAGGATTTTGATCTGTTCTGGAATGGCAGTTCCCATCTCCATGTATCATGTACATTCACACATGAAATAAAGATGGAAAAGATTTATACATTTTGTCCATCTCTCTGTCAACATCAAAATGTATATGATGTATTTTGCAATGGTATATGGTTTTGTGTGACTCACTTGTAAGAGCACACATTTTCCATGAGTTGGTGTAGGTTTATAACTAGTTTAATTCATGGCTATTTTTCTCACCTGTTTATTCATTGGGATTACTTGGGTAGTGGGTTCTGTGGGATTGGAAGGAACATAAATTGGCATTTTAGTGCTTCCTGTTTTACTTTCAGAGTTCTTCATATTACTAGAGGCTTTTCGGGGATGTGTATTTTGCTTGCCAGCTGACAGATTTGAAGTCACAGAAAACAATACCGAACTGCATGGTGTTCTCGAAGAGTAATTGTTCTTTGGGTGAGAAACTACAAAACAAGAACATTTGGTGTTATCAGATAAACATGAAAATATAAACCCCAGATTCTTATCTCAGTTGCACTGGATTTCAGTGGAGTCACTCCAGACTTACTGTAGATGACTTCCTGTAGTTACTCAGATGACTGAGAACAGTCAGGCCCATAGCATGTTTATGCTGTGAATCAGTCTAGTGAGTGGTATCACAAGACACTTCTGGAGATGAAGAGCCAGCCCTGGTGTAACTCCACTGATGCCATGCATGCACTTAACAGGGGGTTATCTTGCCGATGCCTCACACAGCTTTTCAAAACCCCCACAAAAAAGTCAATATTTTGTTACATACATTAATACATTTAGAAAAAGACAGCACTTCCAAAGGGAAAAATCACTCAGTATGCAACACTAGGAATCTCCTTGGCCACCTGTGGTTGTCTTACTGGATAGACCTGGATCCCGACTGATGATTTGCAGGTTTTTCTCATTGCTGACCAAAGGAAGAATCTGAGTAGGAGGCAACATGTGCACATGGATCCAATCCTGTCAAATTTTAAGTACTCTCCACTTCCATCATCCTTATTGCTACATACCTCACAGGACAGGTACCTCTCTGTCAGTCTAGTTCCTGGCGTGCAATGGGGGTGGACACTGTGAAACAGCATGATGGTGACATGTAGATGCAGCTTGCTATGGAAGACTGTGTGAGGGAAAATTGAGTCCATATGAGTTCTGTCTGAGGGGAGGAATCTAGGCGGGGTTCAATGGTAGGATTCTGGGGCCTAGTGAGGGGCCGGTGATAGTGAGAACAACATGATGCCATCTGTGAGGCTTGGGCTGCAGTGTAGGGAAGGAAAGGAGCCACATATAGCACCCCCTGGCATCGAGGCAGGAAATGGGCAGCCTCTCGCTTGATTAACATCTATTAACTAGTTAATATCAAGGTGTGGTGGGCGAGAA